CAGGGTGAGGGTGCAGCTCTGGAGAGCTAGGACCAGAAGCACTGACAACCACAGAGAGCCACTCTGCAAGGTCACCCTTACCACGCCCATCCAACAGCCCACACAGCAGGAGGACACGGGCCCTCCCTCGGCCCCACGAAGCAAACTTAAAGGGGCCAGCAATGTCCACCATCTATCTGACTGTTTGGAGCCAACCTAAACTTTTATTTCTTTTTGCTTCCAAGTGTAGTACAAAGGGAGAACTGCTAAAGTCATAAAGGCCTTATTGGTTCCATGGTACCTAGGCACAAAAAAAACTGCTCTGGCTTAGAGGTTTTGTTCTTGTTCTTGTTTTGTTTTCCCAAACTCCAGAACCTAGAGTTCTGGTGTCCAGTCTGCACTGATTAGGCACGTGGCCTGGAACAAGGGATCTCTGGTCTTCAGTTTTCTCATCTCTAAAACAGGAGAAATAATTCCTACCGTGTTTGTTATGAAAATCAGAAAGACCTAATTTTCCCAACTTTCCGAGTGATGGTGATATAACCTTCCCAGGCCCACTTGACACTGGAGGAAACCAAGGCAAAGAGAGGTGGCAAAGTTTGCCTCCGGTCACACAAATAGCTAGAGGCCAAGACAGGCAAAGGCACTCCTGTCACCAGGTGTGATCATCTCGGATGAATGAACACCCGGCTGGAAAGCTTAAAACCTTTCATTCTTTCCAATGTCTGAAATATTCTCTGCAGTCTTGTTTCCACCATGCATTCCTTTGTTTATATTTAATTCATTTTTTTTAACATAGGCAAAGGAAAGGTTAAACTCCAGCCCACCTCCTTTCCAAATGAGGGCAGATGTCAAGCCAAAACCACATGAATTAGTTTCCCTGTTTTGCCCTGTTCTGCTTGCTTTTGCCAGGTCCCCACATAATACAAGGATGTCCACAGAGATAATCAGTGACAGAATAGAACTGTGGTTGTTTCCCTGGGGTAACTCGGCCCTGAGCAGAAGTGAAAGAGGGAGAGCCGCTTTCCTAGGATGTGAGCCTGCAAACTTGGTAAACTCCGTCTCGGAAGAGGACTCTGTGAGGTGTAGGGAAGTCCAGGTCTGTCCCAGGGAAAGCCAGCATGGGGGTCTTGGGGCTCATCGCTCTTAGGAGAACCAGCAGGGCACTAAGGTGTCCTGCTGTCCTCAGTCTTTTGGCGTTTTTCTGGTGAGATACAGTTCTTGATCCCTTACATCTCAATGGCAAAACTAGAGAAATAGCAGTGCCATTCCAGACACTATGGTTTTGCTTGCTGTTTTATTAGAACATCCACAGGACTCACCATCGTCAGGAGAGAGAAGGAAAGTCTGGTTTTGAATATGAAACTCTGCTTCTCACAGGAGTGTTTTTCACCTCGTCCCCTGGCGTTTGCCCTCTTTATCCCCAGAAAGCGTGGTCTTCCAGTTCTCTTCCATTTCACCATGAGTCTGACGGTCAGGGCTCCATCCAGGTCACTAAATGCCAATCTCCTGAAATCTCTGTTTTCTCAAGAAGCTCTTCAAATTAAAAGAGAGCAGGAACAGGGCAACTCTTGAGAATCTAATTATAAGGCCATTATTATTTAAGTCTGAGGATTACAAACCAGAGTGATGCGTTACCCAGAGAGAAAAGGCTCAGGAGATTGCATGGGCTGGGGGTGGGGGGTAAGGCTGGGGATGGAGGCAGGCTCCAGCCCCCAAGGGGTTCGGGCTGTGTGCTCTGAATTCACGGGCACTGCCGAGACCTCCCAGACCCCTGGGCTTTCTTGGAAGTGGAAATGATCAAAGGCACCACCAGCAGATCTACTGACCGCTCAGATGAATTGAAGGAGACAACCACATCGCAGTGCTACCTTCAAGGCCACCCTGTCCCTCTGTGGCAGGGTCATCACCCTCTTGGACAAGACATCTTTATTACCCAAAAATTTTGGATGCGCACCCCCAAAGTATAGACAGTTCTTTGCTTATAAGTAGTCCGGCACTAATATAAGCATACATACACAAACATGAATTTTCTAAATGTGACATAAAGAAAAACCTGCCAAGTCTATTATGTTTCCCATGCACCCAAGTAGGTCTCTCTGTCGCAACTGGTCTCAAGGTTCATGGGGGCAAGGGGAGCTAGGGAATTAGTTTAAAATGAGGGCACCCTAGGCCACAGTCCCAGAAGTCTGGATTCATCATAAGCTGCTATCCCAAAATATAGTCTCAGGCAAGTGAGGCCCCCATTTTCCAGGAGAGGAGATGGGGTTCATTAAGGTATGGACGTTCTGCAAAGCTAACAGAAGGCAGAGCCAGGACCCCGGGCTCTGGAAAGCTCATACTTCTCCTCCTCCTTTATGAGGTCCTCTCCCACTCCCCTCCCCTATAGCCAGTTTTAGGGAATAGCAGAGCTTGTGCCTTAAAACCACCCGGAGCAAGGACCCAGTGACGGCTTCACAGGAACTTGGAAAAGGTGGAAACAGCGGGTCTAAGAGGGCACAGGACCCCTTCCTCCACACCACCCTCCAGGATCTGGCATGAGATGCTGAGCAAGGAAACTGGCCTGGGACAAGTAAAGGAATTCCCAGAACTACAACAATGCTGAAGGTGTAGAAAGTGGTAAGAAAGTGAATTCTGCAGGATTTTTCAGTGGAGGTGGGGAAGGATTGTGAGGGCATTGGTATTTTGGAGGTGCTTGGATTCTCCGTACCTTCAGGAAACTAATCTGCAAATCGAGGTGGGCTTTGAGGTGGTTACCAGTGCCCAGTGCAGGAGCGATGAGCGTAGGCTCAAGGACAAGGCCGACAGCTGGTTATTGGACTCAGCTTTCAGGGAGAGAGAACAAACGTGGGACTTCAGGGGCTGCCAGAGCCAGCCAGGTATCCGGGGCTGAAACCTGGGTAGTGTGCTTGTTGCATGGCCTCCAAGCTGGAACCCCTGGGATGGAGGTGGAGGCTGGGGACAGTACACAGAGAGGTTTGGGGTTGGATCATGAACGTGTAAGTTTTCGGTCCATCTCATGCAGTCAATAGTCGCCTGGGTGCTTACTTGGCATCTGGCTGCCTACTTGGCCTTTCCCCCTGGAGGTCTAAGAACCACCTCGGACTTCCCAGGCCAAAGCTGCTGCCTCACAGCCTGCCCTATCTCTGGTGATGGAGATCCCGTTACTCTGCTAGCCCCAGGCAAAACCTGCAAACCCTCTTAACTCCCCTCTTTCTATCCCAGCAGCCAGAAAATCCTATCGGTTGTATTACAGACAGGTAAGTTAGGTAAAAATATTACAGGGAGTCCGACAGGGCTGGGCCCTCGAGAGGGTGAGGACAAAGGTGAAACACATTACAACCATGGCCAGAGACACATCTGTTGATGGCCAGACCTCAAGATAAAGACAAAATGATGAGGTCTGCATGCTACTTTCCCAAAGGACACGATGAGTGATAACACCTGCCCTAATGAAGTCTAGATAGACATCAGTCACCCCAGTGGGTGACCAGGACCCGCTGACCCATCACTTCCTAGGAGAAGTCTTTGTTCTTTCCGTGCACACTTGTTACGTGACTTGTTCCCCATTGGATCACTATTACCTAGGCGACCATACTTGTAACCTTACTGGTTAATCATAGCTTTAACCCGCGTTGTATCTGTGTGGTTTTTGCTCTATAAAACTTCCCTGTAAAGTGAGGTCCCAGGCCACCCATTCGGGACCCCTGCTGCCTCTCAGGAGTTCTCCTCTCAATAAATATTTCCTACTCTTACTTCTGTTGTTCCTAAAATTCACACTTCGATGTTAGAGAACACAAACTCAGCATATCAGACATCCCACAGGTTGGGAATTATAATAGTTCACTTATATCATTTAAGTCCTATTTCATCTCCCATATCATCCTTGTATCAGTCCCACCTTCAAAATATACCCAGCTCCCATCCAACTGCACAGTATCATGGTGAACCAGACTGTCCTCCCCTCTGACTCCTAATAGATCTCCCACATCACCCTTACTCACTCGCAAATCAGTTAACCTTTTTAAAATCTGACACAAAGCACATCACTCTTCTGCTCAGAATGGCTCTCTGTGGCTCATAGTGCAAAAGCCAAAGGCCAGTGATACTGCCCTCTGCTCCCTGGCTGCCTGCTATTCTTAGAACACACACACACACACACACACACGGTATTGCCAGGCTCAGGGCCTTTGCACAGGCTGCCTGAAGTTCCAAGGTGTCCACAGGGGCAGCTCCTTCATCTCCTTTCTCTATTCTGAGGTCAACTTCCCAACAAGAGTCACTCTGACCATTCTGTTTAAAATCATGCCATTGTCCCCCTTTGTCTGGCTGTACCTTCTCTTTTCTCATGGCTCTTAACGCCTTCTGCCAATCCACAGAAATCTCTTTATTATTTCTGCTGTCCACTACCTGCTCTCCCCACCCCTACTGGTGCATAAGCCCCACAAGGACTGTGATCTATATCTCACTTGTCTACCCCAAGTGCCTAGAACCCGGTCTGGTACGGGCATGCGGCGGGGAGTGTGCATGTGTGCGTGTGTGTGCGTGTGTGTGTGATAAAATTTAAATTTAAGTAACTCTAAGATGCCAGAACTAGCATAAGAGTTGCACATGTGGAATTCCCCGCCTGGCTTTGCTGGGCAGCCACGTGGCCGGGCCTTCACTAACCCAGCCCTCCTCAGAGCCTCCACGTGGGCATCTGTGCCCCTCAGCCAGTTCCTCCTTAGAAATCCTGAGGTTTAAGGATTTCTGCTCCTGTCGGCTCTAGAAATGCTGCCCGCCACACTGTGAGGACCACAGCCACTGGCAGCTTTCCTGGACTAAACAGAAGGAACTCTGCAGAGCCCAGCACAGCAGGCTCTGCATGACGCCCTGGACTCAGGCCGCAGCCCGGCCCTCAGCCCTTCGCTCTGCTTTGAGGGAGACTTGGGAAAGGCGGAAGCCACCTACCCTGACCTTTGACAGAATTTCCAAACATGACACGTTAACCTCAAACGGATTAATTTGGGACTATGACCAGGGCCCAAGAAGGCAAGAATACTCAACGAGATGATATTTGATTTTCCAAACACATCAAGATAGAAGGCACTTTGGTAAATCAATCTTTTTGGTAAGAGCTGTGGTTGGATGTGGGGCTGGGGCCGGTGAGGGAAGGGTCTGAGCACTGGACAACACGTTGTCCAAAGGTTAATGATTAATGGGCAGCCTTCCCTATCCAGGTATCAATAGGCATTCTGGTCTCTCTAGCTCCAGCAATTGAAAGAAGACCTCGGACCTGAGAGAGACAAGAAAAATGGGAACTTCCCAGTGTGTTGCCATTTTCTTGATTTTATGCATCTTTACCCAGTCATGTGCCCGTGGACAAAGCCTGGGGCCAGGTAAGAGCCTGTGTTTTCTCTAGAGATGGGCATGGACTTTGCTTTCTTAAATTTGGTGACAAAAACTCCCCGTGTGGGACACAGCTTGCCTCTGAGCACCCTGGGCAGTTCTGCAGGTGACGTCGCAGAAACACAGGGACAGGCGGCACTTTGCAAATGCGACTAAAATTTTAGAAAACCACTCTGGGAGAAGAAGTGTAAGAATGCCTGCAGCTCACAGCAAAGCCTCTTGCAGATGTGATTCCGAAGCAGTCGAGCTAAGACTTCTTCAGCAGGGAACCATCTGAAAAACTTGGGAAATTCCTGAGAGTTAATTTGGCATCTAATTTGCAATTGGAGAGCACAGTATGGGATGAAACGCTCTGTCTTGTTGGGGTTTGTCGGATTGCCTGGCTCTCTCCAAAGAGAGGAATTTATGAGCGCAGCTTCTAGTCAGGTCTAAAGCAGAGCCATCATGGCATACTTTCTGGTCCTTATTTTTCCAAAGTTGTACTGTGAGAATTCAGTAGCAGTCTCTCGTGTTTTGCCCGTGATTTCATAAACTAGACTGTTAGCCAAAGACAGTTCCAAATGCTTGACCAGACAGGGGGAGATCGGATTCCCGGCTGCCCTGCGCATTCGATCAATAAATGACGGCTATGATATTAGCCAAGCTGTCTGACTGTCCTAGCTGTCTGACCATCCTAGAGCAACGCTCTGGCACCGGAACTAGTTTCTTAAGGACTACGCTTGAAGCCAGTTCCAAAACTTTTGAGAGTTGGTACATGACAGGCTATGTACCTGAAAATTTCAGAAATGTTTCCCTTTGATGAAAAGGTCGTTTCCTTTGCATTTGGTTATGATTTGGTTACGTTCACTATCTTTTGGCCCAGAATGTTGTGTATGTTTGCTTGCTTTTTATTGGAGCATACCACCTGCTAAGACGGCAGCCTGTAAGTCCTCCATGAGATTTTACAACCTGAGGCAGCTTCCCAAGCCTCCCCGTAGCCCCATTGAGCCTTGATATGTATTACTTGCCCTGCTGGGGACTTTTCATGAACGGAGACCACAGCAGCTGTGCACCTGCCTGCGGCTTCTTCTCCAGCGTGGTGTTTGTGAGGCCGGGCCTCTCGCTTTCCTGTAGCTGTGACCCATCCACTGTTGTGGCTGCTGCAGGCCATGTCTACACATAACATACTTCGTTCACCATCTACCCCACAATTGATCGGCCCATACTGCTTTTGCCACTGAGACACAGAACTTGGAAGGACCAGGGCTGGGTGGAGCGTGAAGGGAGGAGGGTGTCTGGGTGTCACCCAGATTGTTCTCAAAAATCCCCTTATCTTGTGATTTTCTGCGTCCTGCTTTGTCCAAGAGCTGAGGGAGGAGGCTGTGATGAGCCACAGAGGTCCTTAGGAGACAGGATCAGAGTTTAGAAGTCTCTTGCTCCCCTGAAAGCAGAATCCTGCATGTGATTCATGTGTGATGGTCTGTTGTCTGCCTGGGTGCTGGTGTCCCATGGTGGAACCCTTATCTGATGGTTTCTGTACCAGCGGCTCTCACAGGGACACTGGATATAGTGAGTTTTGTGATGTTTAGAACCACTGTCACCTTCATGCCCAAGGCCCACACCCCCCCAACCGGAGCTGCGACTAAAATAGCACTGTTCCAAGTGCTGAACTAGAAGCCCCCACGCCCACCTAGGGCGTCTTTCCTGACCTTCTGTCCCAGCCACAACACCAAACCCCAGAGTCAGCGAGGCCACGGCCCAGGGAGGCACTCGTGACCCCAGTCAAGGGCTCGAGAACCTGTCATACCTAGGCCAGTGCACAGGCCCAGCTGCGACCCAGCTTTCAGACCTAGCCACACCTCCACCTCTCCTGCAGATTACCGAGGGCCCCAGAAACAAAAACTGAGAAATTGTGAAAACCCTCATTCACACTTTTTAAAGTAAGAGTAGCAAAGCCACCGCATGTGTCACCTACGTAACACAGCTTTATGAAAAATAAGCTGTATTTTCCAAATAATAACCCAAAAGTGAGTTGCAAGAACGACACTGTTTTACAAAGAAATTCTGCAAACTTCTAGGTTGTGTGCTATACTGAAGACGGCTGGATTCTCTGGCCTGGTTCTAGATTCAATCCTTTGTGATGTGTCATTTTCTGTAACATCTGCATGGAAAGTCTGCCCCTCGTAGGAAGGGGGTACATCCTTGTGCCCCCTGGGGCGAGGCCCGCTTGCTGAGAATTGCTGCTTTCAGTAACTGGTCCTTGTCACCGTGCCCTCTGCCTGGTGAGGTGGCAGCTAGCAACCCCAGAAGCCAGAAATAAGGCGGCTTTTGTCACTACAAGATGTAAACACACTGAAGTGAAAGTTAGTCTACCTTTCACTGTAATATTAGTGATAAAAGCCCTCAACAAAGACAGATTTTTTTGGTCTAAGTTCTAAAGAACGTCTGTAATTACCGTGGAGTTTTAGTTAAACATGTATATCAAATTATACACTTTTATTATCTGTTGTTTAATAACTACTGTGTTCTCCACTGACATTCACTGAAAGAACTCCCAGCTGTGCACTGGCCAGACACTCACAGGCCAGCCCTGTGCCCCTGTAGGAGAGAGGCTCCTGACTCAGCCTCCTTCCGGCTTACCTAGGTGCAGCTCGTGTCTCCAACCCTCGTGTGCTTCATAACTGTTCCTGGGTTTAAACAGGAGACAAGAGAAAGGGGCAGTGGAGTGCTTGTAAAGACAAAAACACAAAACTGGAGTGACTTCAATTCTCTCACCCTATGTGATCCCCAAGAGTTTCTATATATGTTTAAAGTGTAAAGCGATTAAAAAAGAAAAAAAGATTGTGCACTATGAGGTTTAAGGCTTGGTTTGGAAAGTAAGCGCTTGAGTTCTTGCAGGAAATGTTATTCATTTGAAAGGTGAAATTTACTCTTCTTTTAAAATTGTTCACTGTAGTCAGGTGAGGTGGTGCCCGCCTGCAATCCCAGCACTCGGGAGGCTGAGTCAGGAGGATCATTGTGAGTTTGAGGCCAGCCTGGGCTACATAGTGAGTCCACAGTCAGCCTAAATTATATAGGGAGGAGACCTTGTCTCAAAAAAAATTTTGCTCATTGCTTTAAAATTAAAGAATGATCCACAAAAATAGTGGCTACCGATTTTTGCATAAATATTACTGGTAATAATTTTGTCTTATGAAACAGAGGGAATTAAATGGTCTTCCTGTGGGTCAAGTGCAGTGTGTGAGGGAGTCCACTGAGAGAGTGAGGGGAGGAGGTATTTGTGTCAAGTGGGCAGGGAACAGTACGAGTCCCGCCGGAGAGGCCCTTCTGAGAGGGGCGCAGGGGTCACTGTTAACTGTTCGAGGGCCGTCCTCTCCCCTCCGCAAGACCAGCCCACAGCCACACGTCCTGGCCCTACAGCCTAGCAGTCCTGGCCTTCCCAGAGCACCTCCCCTGGACAGGACAGGCACCTGGCATCAGACTGTCCGTCACAGAGACCCGGGATTTGGGCCACATTCTTTAATTCGCCCCATGGGAGAATCACAGTAGCAGAACAAGGTGGTCCCAGGCTTCCGGGGAGGTGCGGTTCCCAGTATGGCCACGAGGGGGCGAGGTCCAGGAGCAAAGTTAGGGCTGAGGACCATGCGGGCTTGGGATGACCCTGGAAAGATCAAGGACCAGTGGTTGACCCACATTTCCTCAGTTAAACTCTGTTTCCAATCACACTCATAGCTTCCCCTCCCCGCAGGGCAGGGCTGGGGAGCGGGGAGGAGTGACGGGATTCAATGCTCTGCAGGGGAGATCTCTTCCCGCTGCCAACCAGTCTGGAGCAGGGGCAGTCACCCAACACAGTGCGGTATGGCCTGGAAACATAACTCTTTATGAAAACACAGCCTGACAACACCCAGCAGTATGTGTTCCGCCATGAAATGAGAAAGAAAGCAATATGCTTGACCGTGTGTCCTGTAGTTACCATTGTGTGGGAGAAAAAAAAAGGGGTCGGAAGAATATGTACAGAAATGTTTACAGGTCACTAGCTTCTATCTGAGTTTCTGTGTCCTCTGAATGTTATGCAATGTTTGAGCACTGAATGCAGATGGTGTATTTACTTTAATGATTCGCTTCAAAATGGCGGCCTGGGTCAGGCTGGGAGGAGCTTGGGCTCTGGAGGCTTCAGGTGCAGGAAGCTCATGGTGGGGCCTCGCAGGGCAGAGCTGCTGGCTTGGTGGGCTTAGAGATTAGCATTTCTGACAAGTTCCCAGTGGTGCTGCGAGCCTGGGGGCCACAGAGAACCACTGGGAAAACAAAAATAGTGAGTGGATAAGCCAAGATGAAGCCACATGGCTTCCAGGCCGAGGAGGCCTTTTCTCTCCCCACAGAAGCAAGATGGCCTCCGGGGCACTGGTGGGGAGGCACTGGGGTCCACACCAAGGACCTCTGGAGGTCCACCTCCCTCAGTTTACATTGCTCTTAATCCAAGACATTCATGAAAATGTGTTCTTCCAAAACAAGACACTGACATGCTGAAAATAAAGCAGTTCTTTTGTGAATTTTTATTAGTGTAATGAAGTAATTTTTGAAGAAAAATTCCCAAGGCGAGACTCCCTTGTTATGGTAGGAAATAGTCACTGTGATGGCTGATTCACCCTTCCACTCTGAACTATGCCTTGGCAGTCTGAAAATACGATCAAGGAAATTCTTTTCACATGAGTTGGGCCTTACCAGCTGGGCAGGGCCCGAGGCATCTCAATTGACAAAGACTGGCCTTTCCCTGATGGGGAAAAGCTTTCTGGTGGCAAATGTTCCAGCCTCTGGTCCCAAAAGAAACCAGTATAGTGAAAAACATATAACAAGAGAAGTAGCCACAGAAGGTAGCATTCATTAGCCACCTACTGTGGACCAGCTCCATGTTCAGCACCAAAAAATGACACAATTCCATTCTCTGAGAAGCTTCCAATGCCCTGTGGGGGGGGCATGATTTCAACCCAATAAATGTGCAAATATTATGTACGAAGCCCAGAAGGTTTCACAGAGGAGGTGAAACTTGAATTGAGCCTTGAAGAAGGAAAAGTCTAAGCCTCTCAGCCTTGACCTAGAGGTTTGAAAATGAGAGCGAACTTGGAGGTCCACAGGGAAGGACACCCACTGGCTGCTCCCAGGCTGGCTAACAGCCTGATCTCCCCACCATGGCCACACCTGTGCGTGGGGAGCAATGTCAGCAAAAGAAGGCTGGGTTGGGGCTCACCAGTTGTGCAACCGTCCCTGGCCCTGCACCCAGGAAACCTTCAGCCCGGCCTCCCAGGCAGGTCTCTTTGAGGTGCTCTTGTTAATTGCTACTCCAAACACCAAATCCCAGGAGGGTTTTTACACCATGAAACCAAAGCAGGAACACACTGTGGAGCTCGAACAGTTATCTCCCGTCGCACAATCCTTTCTTCTGAGATTAAAAGAGAAGCATCTGGAAATTCCGCATCATACCAGCTTATAGGCCAACAGCAATTTCATCGCTGGAAATTCATTCCTACCGGCGCTGTATCGCCCGATTCTTAGAATAACCCTGTAATCGATGTCGGGCAGGTGTTAAATCCCCATTCTACAGGCGTCTCGTAAAAGGGAGGTTTCTGTAGCTCAGTACACACAGGGAGAAGGTGCCCCACAGAAGCCCTGCATGTCCCGAGTGGGAGGAGATAAAGGGACGGCCTCGGTGACAGGGTGAATGAAGCTAAAGAAGGTTAGGGGGTTCTGGTTTGGATTCTGCCAGGAGGGAGGGCACAATAATCTAGTAAGTGCTTGTTGTTAACTAGTCAGTGCTTAAGCAGCCAAGATGGGGCAGGCGAGGGACTAGAACAGGCGGAGTTGGTGCTGATCAGACAGGGGAAGATGTGGCCATGTGTTTGGGCTCAGAGAGGCCTCCTCTCGGCCTTGCGGCTGGATTCTGTGGGCACTGTCTAGGTTCTGCGGCAACCCTGCAGCTTGGCTGCCCTGGCTGTGTTGTGCTGTTTCCTGATCCTCTCCTGGGGAATTCAAGCAACATCTCCAAAGTCTCCTGTCATCTATGCACGGGGTGGGTGGCACAGCCCAGGTTACTCCCTTTACCTCTGACCTCACCGGGGTGTCACACGGGATGGTGTGGGTGGTGGGCACAGTGCCGGGAGAGCTGCAGGTCTAACTTCCCCCCGGAATCGGCACTTAAACATTACTGGGAAAGAGCAGGGTGGAAGCAAGAGTTCAGCCCTTCCCCGACTTCACTTTCATCCACGCAGCTGCCTTCAACAGGGCAGGTCCCCAGTCACAGGAAGTGCGATTCTGTAAGAACACTCTACCACACATCATTTTGGAATCAAATGCTGACTGTAAAAATATACATTTGATGCTTTTTGGAAGGGAACTCTTACATTGCGGTCATGGAGTGGAATAAGATATATGGAACAGCAACTACTATTTTTAAGAACCTTCACATACACCAAGTGCTGTGTGCCTATTTATTTCGCTTAATCCATGAAAATCGCTCTCTGGGACAGGTTTTATTATCCGGGTTTTACAGATGGGGACATTTAGGGCTCAGGGTAACGAAATGACTGGATTCTCAGCCAGGCATGTCTGACTCCAGCCAGCCTGAGAACTCACCCTGCAGACTCTGCCGAAATGTGGACTGGCTTGGGGGCTGACCTGGGTCCCACTGCAGCTCACTGGTGCTGACTTCCAGGGCAGCTGCTGTGACCCTCAGGGCCACCAGAGTACCTTGGCCTTCAGCAGTGTCCCTCTGAAGATGTCACTGCTGATGGGGCCAGGGACATATTCTGGCTGCTTCTAACCCTAGGCACTGCTCACCTTAACCAAAAGAATGGCAGGCAGGAGCAGCCTCGGTGGCCCAGAGGGACAAAATCCTGGTGCCCTCACATCTGAAACTCTGTCACAGCTCGCATTTAGTCCAAGTCAGGTCAGATACATGAATGTAAGCACTGGTGCAGCAACCCAAAGGAAGGAATTGGCCATTCTGGGCCAATTTTAAAGTAGCCACGGGCATATGAAAGGGCTCCAAGGAATCCTCAAGGTTCAGGATGCTTTTGATGAACTGAGCTGGACCTCAGACACTTCTCTGTGGTTTTGCAGTATCAACACAGCACCTAAGGAATCTCCTTGCTGCCAGGGACGCACGTCTTCTTGCCATCGTTGCACAATTAGTGCACTTCCTGCCATGTTCATGTACAGCGCCTCCTCAGTTCACAAATTTAATTCTTTCCATACTTGTGGCTGCGAGCAGAATTGGACAAGAACCAAATCCTATTTCCGCGTCAGGTCAACATCGAATCCAACCACTAGAACTTGACCTCGCCTAACCCAGAATGATTCTCTCTGCAGGAACAGCCTCGGTCATCCCATCAGGCCCCTCAAGCGTGCTCCCCGGCCCTGCTCTGGCTGGCATCCTGGGCCAGGAACAGGGGACACTGTGAATGTTGCTAAACACCTTTGTTCTGTGGAACTGCAGCAACTCTGGGGTAAATGGGTTCAGAGTTAGAAAAGAGCCTTATGCTCGCGTGGGTGAGATTGGAAAGAGAGAAGTCAGTCCTCGCTGGCCCAAACAGGGGGCCTTTGCTGAAGGGTGTAGGAAGCCGAGGCCCCACCGAGGAGCCTGCAGCCAGCTGGCAGCTAGCGGGGTGCTGGGCAGAGCAGGGGGCAGCAGGCCCTCTCAGCAGGGTGATGGAGCACAGGCAATCACTGGCCGGAAACCGAATGACTGGTGTTGTGCATAAGTGAAGACATTCACCCAGCACATACCAGCACGCACCTGCTTTCCTGCACAGTTGCACATGATGGGGGCCCAACGTGCACATTCTGTGTTGAGAGGTGTTCTTCCCCCAGTCACAGCCCCGGTCAGCCATTGTGAGACTCGCCTGGCCTCAGCCGAGAGAAAGGATGCCAGGCCAGGGGCCCCCGCTCCGGCATGCCTGCCTGCCCTGCCTTCACGCTGGCAGAGCCTAAAAGACAGTGGCACGGTGGCTGGTCCTCCAGGACAGAGCTGGGCTGGAAGGGGGCTGCTAGCTCTACATCAGGCCTGGCCTGTGGGCTCCCAGCCTGGGCAAGGGATTCCAGGCTCAGAGAAATAATCAAAGCTCCGGCCATGGATTTAGTCCAGAGGTTCCACCGCCTGCCTTTCAAGCGCAAGGACCCGAGTTCAATCTCCGGTACCAGAAAAAAAGACCCAAAGAAATAATCACGGCTCCTGAGAAAGCAAACCAGATGTGGCATCTAAAGACCTGGTCTGATGTGTGGACCTGGAGACCCAGCTGTCACCTTATCCTCGGGTGACCTCCGTTAGTCGCCAGCAATGCGGTGACGAGGACAGACCCCACTGGCTGTTCTGATACCAAAGAAGATAGAGCGAGATACTCCGCAACTCTTCATGGCTGGTCTTAAACATTTATAAACATCTCCCTTATTTCCCCCCAAAACAAGACCAACTGGAAATCAAGCCCTGGCATGATTGTTCAGGATGCTCAAAATACAAGCTCTACCACAAGAAGAAGCCCAGTTAAGCTCGTTACCCAGACGGACGCACTCAGTACATCTACAGTAACACACTATGAACTATTAAATGATAAAATTTAGTAATAATACTAAAATAGAATTAAATATAATAAATAATATTAGATATTAATATAACACACTATGAACTATTAAATGATAAAATTTAGTAATAATACTAAAATAGAATTAAATATAATAAATAATATTACTGATATTAATACTTAAGATAAATGATAACGTAAATCATAACTAAGTATTAGTGAATACCTAAGCAGGTACCTTTGGAAGAGAAGTAAACGCCTGTGTAAGCTGATGAACTTGAGACGCTGAATATGACAGATCAGAGCACAGACACAATACGCGGGTGACGTATGCACTTGACAACGAGCAGATGTGGCTGGGCCATAATCCCACACCTCGCGTGTCATAACGCACTATGCGCAGGCTGCACGGACAGGAAGTGGTCATTTACGGAGAGCTCTACTGCTGGACGTGAGACCCGGGGGCCAACGCTGCCACAGGAAATGGAGTTGGAAGACATTCAGAGTGCGGAGGAGAGCGACCATGACGTTCCAGAAGATGACAGGACTGTATCTGAATAAATGTAGTTTTTGTACATGAATAAACTGTTGTCCATGAAAAAGTAAGACATCCCCTAAAAATAAGCCTTCATCCATCTTTTGGAGCAAACTTTAATATAAGACCTGCTCTGATTTTCAAGGAAATATGATACTTACTAATTAGTCCTACCGTTATAAAACTCACCTGATTCATGTACCACTTTCAAAGTGTTTCTCCATACCTTATCATATAAAGTGTAGAAAAGTTTTTTTGTTTGGGGTTTTTTGTTTTTTTTGGTTTGTTTTGTTTTGTTTTGTTTGTTTGTTTTTTCGGTTTTTTGAGACAGGGTCTCACTATGTAGTTGAGACTGTAGAAAAAGTTTTTTAAATGGTACAACTAATTTAACATGCTGGTATGTTTGCTTTCCCTCTACGTGCATATTTATGTGTGTGTGAAAGGCATATGTGAAACCATACTTCAATTTTAAATATTAATACATCAGCATTCATCTCTGAATAGGGACTTCCCCTCCCCCCGTACCATTTCAAAACAAACAATTTTATTTTATCAATATCCTATCCATACTCCAACTCCCGCAGTGGTCCCAGGAATCCTCTCAGTGGTTCTTTCCAGCCAGAGTCCCCAGCCGCCCCTTCCTGGGCCCCCATGGTCACACCAGTGTCTGCAGTTGTGAGAGTGGACCCCAAGCCCAGCCCTGCCCTTCTTCCCCACCTAGAAATTAGGACCCAGAAGTCACCTGGGCTCCTGCTGACTCTGTGCGGGCTCAACTCCTGAGGCAAGGCCATCAAAGACAGGGACAGGTGCTGTATGGACTGCAGGAGATTGCGTGGGCCACACGAGCAGCTGGTTCTGTTTCCATGGGGTTCACAAAAGCGACTCTAAATCCTTGGGCTTCCATGAAGCCAGGAACCACTCCCAGATCCAAGGACTTGCACCGGAAGTCCCATGATGCTTTTCGCTTCACACGAGAAGGTTTTAAAAATCAAAGCTTCAATCAGTGTGTGTATGAATCACCCAGGAGCTTGGTACAATGCAATGCTCCAAGCTCTGCATGTCTGGAAAAGGTCCGGGCCCCCGAATCACACTTTGAGAAGCAGCATGCCAAAGGCCACTGGGTCGCACCTCATCTACTGGGGGAGGAGTAATGAGCCCCTGTTAGCACGCCCACCAGGAGGAGCTCAGGAAGAGAAAGAAATACAAAGATGGTTAAACCCTCTGAACCACGCCCAGCCTCTAGTAGGTTTATTACCTCATCTAGCGTGTGGCTTCCAGTGGCTGAATTCTCACAACTATCTACTAAGCAGCGTGTTTATTCGCATTTTACATAGGAGGAGACTGGCTGATATCACCTGAATGTCATGTGCCAGTATTCTGAGGGCCAGGTGAAGCCTGCAGAGAGCTAAGGAGAGAATTAACTAGTTCTGGAAGAAGAGGGAGGCGCCCTGGGGCAGGGGTGGGCCTGGGAGCCAGCAAGAGGCTCTGTAAAACTGGGCAATTAGTACCTGACAGTTGCCCAGGACTACGTTCCCTTCCCCACCCACCTGTTTCTCATAATTATTCCATCTCTCCAGGCCCAAGACTTTACAGAAAATTCCCAGAGTGTATCAGACACTGCCCGCAATAGCAAACTTCAGCCAAGGGTTGTGGCGCAAACTTTGTCCCTGAATAGCTGTGTGACTCTGGGCACCCGGGACCTGGTCAGAAGGCTGGTAGCTGTTCACAGCCCTTCCTTCCTCTCTGACAAAAGGTTTCTGAGCTCCCCACCCAGTTGGGTGAAAACACTTGTCACCTCCCTGCACACATGCATCTGACCATGCACACTGGGGGCCCCCAGGTCACACAGCAGAGCAAGACGGAGTGGGAACTCAGCCCCGCAACTCCTAAGCACCTATCTCCCTGCTGTTTCACACAGATGCCTCAGTCACATTTGTCTTCAGCTGCAAGTGAACTGGAAGCAACTAGAAGGTCCCAGGTCCAAGTTCCCTGGGCACTAAGAGGGGAGGGCTCTGGGCATGGGTTCCCTTAGAGAAAACACAATGTGGGTTAATCAGTCATGCCCCGAGGATGCCACAGACCCTGACCGCTGTCTTCCCAGACCCAGGCCAAGTGGTCCTGGGTGTGGGCGGGCTGAACACTGGCATTTCCAAAGCAGAAAGACTGAGCAAACAGAACTTGTGCTCGGGCTCTGTGAAGTACCCAGCCCAGGCTGCACAGGGTCGGGGCACCATCTGCACCTCCTGGCTGGCTCTGCCTGAATAACTCAGTTCCACATGTGGTGGGTAGAGGCCCAAGTTAAACTCCCTCCCAGTGTCCAGAGGGCCGAGACCTTCTAGTCAAAAGGTGGGTTGGAACCCCCGCTACACAGGGCCTGCTTTCTTCAAATTTAAGGCTAAAGAGCACAAAGCCCTTCTAGGATGGGGTTAGGTGTCAGACATCCAGCCACATGGCTGGGGAGCGTATGTCCCCCACTGAAGATCACAGTCTTAACTCTTCACAGAGCCAACTGTTACATTTTCAAGGACTTCGGGAGCTGATTTTTAAACATGGCCATTATTGTAAAATTATAAAACTTATATCAGTTATGTTAAAACCAGCAATAATAGATGCTTAAAACTTCTCTGCTCCTAATGTTTGTGCTACAGTGGATTTTATCTCTGTCGTTAGAGTTTTTGCATGGATTGTACCATATGGTGGAAATGCTAGATGGTCCTGTGCCTAGTGCACCTCTTCCCAACTCCATGTGCAATATCAAAGCAGTAGCAGCTTAATAGCCACTATTATGGTTGTATTTACACCCGGCAAGCACAAACTTTACAAGTGAGTGTTTGATCTCTTGCTCTGTTCGCCATCTACAGCAAACTTTTCCTATAATAGAAAAGGTAGTAAATATTTTTCCCTTTGTAAGACATAAGGTCTCTGTTCCAACTACTCAACTTTGCCATGTTGGCACAAAACCAGCCACAAAGAATAAGTAACAAATGAACACAGCTATTTTCCAATAAAACTTTATTTACAGAAACAGATGGAGGGCTAGATATGGCAGGCCATAAATTGCCAGCCCCTGGTCCAGACTTAAGGAAACCATGAAAAAAAATACTGATGATGAAGTTAAAAGTGTTTTGTGTCTATAACTGTTCTGATTATACATAACACAAAAAGTTTGGAGGAAATAATCTTTCTGTCTTACTTTCTCACTGCTGGAACAAAATAACTGACATTCACATGTTCAAGGAGGAAAGGCTTATTCAGCTCACCATTTGTACGCATGGAAGAAGAGAAACACTCCACGGTAGAGCAGGCAGGAGGCAGCAATCCTGTTCTCCCTTCTTTCCCTTTTTATTGCATCCAGCCTCTAAACCCATTGGTTGGTACCACCCACATTCTGGGTGGGACTTCCCAGTTAATCTAACATCTTCAGTTAATCTATCATCCACACCCAAAATATGCTAAACCAATCAGTGGACTAATCCAGTTACCACACAGCCATAATCTAATATCACACATCCATGATCGAGCAACTTCCCAAAAGCCCCACCTGTGACCACATGAGGCTTCGGGGGGACATGTAGATATAAGCCACAACATTCTGTATCCAAAACAGTTACATGATTCAGCAAAGAAGTAGCCCATGTTATTGTTTAATGGAGCTCCGATATAAGTCTTTGTTGCTTCATTTCTCTTACTCATTAAATGAAAACAGTAACCAATATTTACATCAGATGACACGTTTGTCATTTACTACAGTAGATCTGCTAGTGAAGACAGCAAGAGCACTCTGTGATGGCCAGTTGGCTATATGAAGTTTACGACAAAATCCTCAAAGACCAGAAGCATTGCCCAAAGCCCGGAATGGATGGACAATCAGAAGACCTGTCCACAGTCACCCTGGAAGTCTTCATGAAGGACACAGGACCCTAAAGAATAATAAGCCTAGACAAGGAAAAGAGAGTGCATGCTATCGAGGAGTGGAGAGGTTGGACTCCCTGACTCGGACTGGGAGGCCAAGAGAAGAGGCCTAGCACAAGGAGAAAGTGGGAGACAAGATGTAGCTAATGATACGGAAACATGCTAGGAGGCTGAGCCGAGAAAAACAATTTACAAAATGCGCATCCATGTTAAGGGAGAAAAATGCATTATAGGAAAACGTCCTGAAATGTAAATAGCCTGAGTGATAGGATTATAGCTGATTTCATTTTCCTGCTTCTCACACTTTTCTGTTGCTCTAAAGTGGTGTGTATTACTGTGACATCCTGAAGAAGGAGAAGCATTTTCAGTATGAAGCGCGCAAGCACTGAGCCAGACCTGAGTTCATAGCCAAGGGCCGTGCACATCAGGCTGCCCACTGGAGGGAGGCGCTGGAGAAGGGTCGGGTAGCGATGAGGGAGAACCCCACTCCCAAGAGGCCTGCTGGGACATTGGGCAACCACTGTTGGTGGCTCCTTCCCAGGGGCCAGCGTAGCCCTGTGCACACAGGAGTTTGAACCCTACCCCACAGCTCAGGTAGATGGCTGCTCTCTCTTTTCTCTCCTAAGACCAGTTTGCAAAGGTTCCCCCTCCACATTCACAGAGGCAAAGAACCAGCTACAAAGAATAGGTAACAGTGGACATGGCTGTTTTCCAGTAAAACTTTATGAACAGAAACAAAATAAACTGGGTTTATATAAATAAGAGGTTTATATAAACAAGAGGTCCTCTATGTTTTTAGGGTTCTTTTGCTATTTTACCAACTGAAGAAGTAGTCTTTTTCTTTTTTTTAAGTGTAGTACCAAGTACCATGCATTGAATTGAGAAATTACAAGGAATCCTAGAGCATATTTCATCCAATTCATCTAGTTTACAAATAAGAAATTAGAGACTAAGGAGGTCAAGAGATAGACCCACGGGTGCAAAGCTACAGGAAGGCAGGGGCTATCATTAATAGCAGAGACACTGATCAGCTGGCTAATTCCATTTGGTAATCTAAAGGGCTAGGGGGTGCTGTAGGTGGGGCTCAGTGAGGTCATGGGTTCAATCCCCAGCATCCTCAAAAGGGGTCCTAAAAATACCAGTTTAGTCACTTCCTCCATGTGAACTTGACCAGACTGGGTATAATGCAAGGGTTTCCATCTTGCACACAAACACCTATCCACAGTCTCACATGAGCCAACCTCCTCTCCATCTTGGGCCTGTGGCTCCACACCATCTCCAACACTGATCTTTGGGGATTTTCTGCTCCTCTTTCATGGATGGCCCACTGTTAAGCCTTAAATCCTGCCCTTGAAGTGCAGGAGATAGACTGCTTTACACTGTTTCTGATCAGAAACATAGGTGGTTAGAGGATTAAGAAATACATTTTCCTGAGTTGGATAATAACAAAATTTAAATGGCAAAAGTCCACGCTGTTCCCCAGTAGCTAGAGAGCTTTAAAAATAAAATAAATCAGCACCTGGTCCTGTTTTTTCTCTTATTCCTACAGAGACAGGAAAATTGCTGGAGAAAAATTGTGCCCGTATTTTCTGTGCTACACCTCTTGGAGGAAGAATGAAATCTTTAAGTGGGGTTATCAGGAAGTGCTTGCGAAATGTGAAGTTCATGGTCTGATCCCTGAGGTTAGGGAATTGGCGTCCCTGGACAGATGGGTGTGCGTCCTGTTAGAGCAGAAGCCAAGCCTCCCACCCGGCACCTGCCTGCTGCGGCTGAGGTGTTCTGTGTGTCTTCTTTAGCACCGTTGCTCTTTATCTTGGTGCCTATGTTGCTATCATCAATAGCAGAGACACTGTCCCCATCCCTGGCTCTTTCCCCAAAGTCAAAACACCGGGGTCAATATCACCCAAAGAATAAGCTTCGTTTGAGGCTGTCCTCCTTCCAGTTTCTAATGTTCTCAGCTACTTTCAGGTTTTGGACCAACTCTCCACCAGCACTAAATAATAGTCTAGAATTCTTTCCCCACATGAAAAGCTCAGAAATGAAAGAATTCCCTGTTCCCCAGCCCTTTTGCAGAGAATCTAATGACCTTGCTGACCCAGTGACTGCTCAAAGAAAGCTACTTTCACCTTCCCTGCAGCACTCCTACCCTGAGTCCTCGGTGTGGCTTCCCAGTGGAATAAGGAAAAGGTGTCCATGTTGTCATCTGAGGAGGGTCCCACACCAACCATCTTGTCTCTAAGAGATGACCTAAGTTGTGCAGCAGGGAAGAACCCAAAGCCTGCCATTGAGAACATGTGGCCCTTCGGGGAACATTCCAGATCTGAACTCCAGCGGTCATAAAGCACAGAATCCGAGAAAGGTGTAAGTTTCCCTCTGGCTGTGGATGCAGTACTTTCTAAGGGGGAGAGATGGTGGACATGCTTTGTTACCATCCTCCTGGTTGGTCCTTCTCTCAACTCAAAAAGAATTACAAGGCAGAGAGTCAAGAGAGAATTAAACAAAAGCAGTTATTGGAAAGTGAACGCAGAAATCTGAAGGGGATCTGAGCAGGTTGCCATGGCGACTATTTACAGTGTTTTGTTTTGGTA